ATATGTTGCTTCGCTTCGAGTAGAAATTCTAAGCCCACCGCAGCGCAGCGGAGGTGGTCGGCCCTCTCTACACCAACCAACCATGCCCTAGCGTCCGCGGAGCGGGCGCCCCAGAGCGCTAGTCGCTCCGCTTTCTAACCTTGTAGCGTGTCTGTCCGTCCGTCCGTCCGTCCGTCTGTCAATCAGTCCGTCCGGTTCCTTTCTTGCTGCTTTTTCCTGCCTTTTCGCATGGCTACACTTGGCCTGTCTAATACAGTTTCCTCCCATCCTACCGACCGCGCCTACCTTTCTGACTCGACCTAACTATGCCAAAATTACAAATATATCCAAAAGCGTGACACAATTAACTCGCGCCCTGATTGGGCAATACCTGCCGACCTGCGACACTGACTGGATCTGTCGCACGATCAGACCGCCTCTCTCCCTCGCGATTGGACGTAAGGTAAACATTTCTGCCCCGAACGAAACACATTGATTGGATGCAAACAGCCAGCAGATACTTGATTATCGACATTCAGCTACGCAAAACCTGTCGTATGTACTGCAAATCGGGCACAGTAACCATCTATTTTCTGCACACTTCTCAAATAGAGATATTTATTTTTATTAATGTAGACTTCACAGACCAGTATTTTGTAAGAGCTCTGGGATGTTATTTTCCACACACTTTTTAAAGTAAAGACGATATTAATAGTATTAATATTATTAATATAAGCTTCACAGGCCGCATTTGTAAGAGCTCTGTGATGCTTTTTTAACACACACTTTCTAAAGTAGTGACGATAGTATTTTTTTTAAATTAAAGTAGGCTTCACGACCAGCGCTTTTTGTAGAGACTTTACGAATCTTTTTTACTTCACCTGGCACTCACCACTGCCACGCGGGTGCACGGTCATTGCGGTATCTGCCCCCGTGCACCGCACCCGACGAATGCATGCGCGCACGATAGATAGTTGTTTTAGTCAATTTATATTGCATGTAAAGTATGTATTTGTTTGGAAATATGATAAAAGTATTATTATAGCAAAGCCAAAATATTAATAGTATAAAACATTTTACTGTTTTGCCTAATAATAAATACCAGTCTTCCAGTACCGTGCTATTGGCTAATGTTTGGACGCAAATAAGTTTTGCTAACTTACTCACAGTTTGCAAAATGGTGGGCCCTGTGTGCAAGCAATGCGAGGCGAAGATTGACCCGCTTCTGCTGAACCCGCAGCGGTCTACGACGGATGCACGGGCGCGCTGCGTCGGCTGCGGGAAGCTGCAGTGCGGTTACGCGTTCCGTACAATCTGCGGACGGGGCAGCGTGCGGCACTGTATTGCCTGCAAGAACGGCCCAAAAGCGGTTAAGTTCTGGGAGGAAAAGCCTCCACCACCTAATTCGGCCGAAGTGCGCCGCCAGGAAAGCCTGCCAAACGTCGAGAAGGTGATGGGCCCTGGCTGGTACCTCAAGAAGAAAAATAGACACAGCCACCCTCGCAAGCTGACCGCCCGAAACGTCAGGTACATTGAGCAAAAGAAGCAGCAGAAGAGCAAGTAATTGGTAAGTATACCCTTTTAGCCCCTTACCCCGCATCGGTTTGTATACTGGCTGACGGTGCAAGGTTTGCGGTCGCACATACTGTAAGCGGGCTGTGGCGCTACCAAGCGTGTTGACGCGCCTATAGAGCGTAGCGCGCTTCAAAATATAATAAGACATGGAATCAACTGTGCACCGCTGCAAGTTGGTGGTTCCTATCCGCATACGCGTCACCGTAGATGGCACGTACACTCGCTCACGTGGGCACACGCAAAACCATGCTATCTGTACCACCAACGCTCACAGCGTATATTTTATTAATGTGCGCTCACGAATGTAAGCTTCAGTATAGAGTGAGCACTATGCACCGACCAATAAGTTGCTGTCGACATAGACACAAGCACGTTTATGGTAGTGTTGACCATACAGGTGTCGTCGCAAGTCGATGTGCCTGTACGCAGTACTGTATTTTAGTTTCCTGTGTATAATGGTCGAGACGAGAGTCCGGTTGAGTCGCGAATGATTATAAGATGTACCCGCCGCGCGCATATTTCGCGTTGACTACTACCTACATACGCGCGGTCAGCTTGCCTGTATCACCGCGGTTATGACCTACGTCCAGTTAGTGGCGCGCTTGGGTGATCCATCAGAAGCGTAGGCGCAGAAAGCTAGCACCACGATGCAAAAGTACCGATAAAGAAACAGTGACCCCATGCATAGGTTGAACTATCACGAGCGCGTGGCAAATACACTCATTAACGACCTTGCGATATATGCACGGACACATCAAATAGCACGCCGAGCGGATAAGTAGGCAGCGAAAGTACTCCATCTAATGTACACGAACTATTATTCAAATCAAGTCTAAGCATCACTACGATCTGATAGCCATATATCTTCGTATGTTTGTCGTACATATCGGACCCAGTATAATGTCAGTTAAAAAGGATTTATGCCACTTTGTCAGTCAGTAGGTATGCCAATAAGTCAGAAAGTACGTCAGCTATGCAAGCAAGATAAATGTATGCGGAAGATAGTGGAAATACCCTTCAGTAACATCACAAACAGCTCAGCATAATAAATTTTAAGGCATAATATTGATGTTTGTGGCGACCATCGGCAAATACTACCTATCCTAAAAGATACATCGCGCGCGGAGCTGATTAACATTGCTCTATTCGACCGTCGCAATCGATAATATGTGTCGACTGCCTCACGGCGATGACGTGCAGATGGGTAATATGTGTGAGTAGGCGTATTTACTCTAGCTACACTGGGATTCCTCACCGATCTACGCATATTTCGTAGCTTCATCGATACTGACCCGTCTTCCGTACAGCATATATTAGCTTTGCAACCACGCGCGCCTCCGATTGGTGTCATTTTGGGAGCAATGCGCTCAAACGAGGTTATAGACAAAACCTTCCCGGGTAAGATGGTGCTCTTCTTGCAGATCACGTTAAACCCTGGTCATATCTACCATAACACGTGAACACTAAGGATACTGTGTGCGGTGTTGTTTTGGAACGTAATATACGTAGATCACAGTATACATGTACTATATGTTGATTTGCTGTACGTAGAAACTCTAAGCACACCGCAGCGCAGCGGAGGTGGTCAGCCCGCACTACACCAACCGACCATGCCCTAGCGTCCGCGGAGCGGACGCCCAGAGCGCTAGTCTTAAACATCTACTGCAGCAACCTGTCTGTCCGTCACACTAAATTGTCGTGCCTGTCACGCTTTTCCGGACAAATCATTGGATAAAATGATTTAAATATTTCTACTGGTTGCCGAGCGCAGCGAAGGTGGCTTTAATTGGTTAAAACTAGATTGTGTTGTTGCATCAATAAATTCATGTGTTTCCCAGTTTACATATGGGGATTTGCACAAGGCTGTACATTATCCAAAGGCATCGTTTAAATATTATATACTTTTTTATAATGCATGTTGCTATTGATATTTGAGTACTAAACGGAGGGCAGGGTGCCTATCGTACACGTTAGCATACGTGTTTCCGAGGACATGGTTTAAGTATACTAAATTCTCTGTACTCAGTAGGATCTGCGTGTAACACTGACTAAAATGATAATTTCAATTTTTTTACTGTAAAAATATTAGCATTAATAAGTTATCTGAGTGGGTTTCTGGTATTGCTAAATCGTATATGTTACATGTACAGCAGTAGCCGGTCGTGTGGACTGGTCGTAAGAACAAAGCTGTGCTTATAAACGTTGTCACTTGATTCACAAAGATAGAAAGTTTTAGATTGACGTGTGAACAAAAGAAGTTATATGTGATGATGACAATTACTACTGTGAGCGAATTGAACTTGACCATTGTTTTCTAAGCGGGTTTTTAGACAACAACATTCTGATACTTATTAATAGGTTGACGCGTTGCCGACAAGGGCGTAGAATAAGGTTTTGCATGCAGCGGTAAGATAACAACACAACATGAGAGGTGTAAATTATGGTTATTATAAGTAGGCCCGTAAAGAAACGTTAATCAACTTAGAGCCTAATCTACGTTTAACCATCCTGGAATCATCGTTTAAGTATCAAATAAAAATACCGCCGTCAACAAAAGGCGTCGTGCGACGCATCGTTATATCCAAAGGCTACAGTATAACCATAACAGGCACAGATTGGAGTGTCTAATGACTAATTCTGAATCAGCACAAAATGAACACACTTCAATGCATAAGAAAATGCTACAGCCTGAATATTTTTATTAAAAATTCAAATCGTAACACTTTTAATTATCTTTCAAAGTAGCGAGTTTGGTATGCGAAGTGGTTAATAGTCAGTTTATTACAAGCTTAACCAGGCAGTACAAGCGGGTATTTGATGCAAGCTGGACAGATATTCTTTGTATTGATGCAATTTAGGTTTCAGAAACGGCCCGTGAAATCGAGCACGACGCTGAACTAAATATATTATTTAGCGTTTTTAGACTGAAGTGCAGGTGCTTCTGGGTGGAAGATTAAGACAGTGATAGCCAACAACAATAAAGAGACTTTGCCAAGATCACTAGCGTAAGCGTTTATGAGCATGGTAAGTATGTGCTAGGGGTTCAGCCTTTTGTACCGGTAGAAATATTTACACGGCTTACTGGGAGCTCAGCAATTTGTAGCAAAAGAAACGCAGATTTATGAAATTAAAGAAGTCGATTTAGGCACATGGGGGACTCAGAGGATTTGGACTAATTATCCCGCCAAAGCGAAGCGAAGGCGGGAAGGCAAAAATCTAAAGTAAACCTAAATTACCGCCGCGTAGCGGCGGCGCTCGGCTAGTCTTCATCAAGTAGACCGGCATCATGTCAAACTCCCACAAACCCCGACTGAAGAACTAATTAACAGTGTAAACCGTTTTATCACAGCAACCTCATCGCCTATTAGCTGACTGGTACTATCCAATACGTACATGTAATTAAAGTAGAAAGAAGAAAGAGGCCAAAATAACAATCATTCTTCATCTTATCGCTTCCTGGATACACGTAGCTTGGCCGTCGTCTTTGAATAAATAGTGCTCATGAGACTGGACAGGTGTGAGGGCCTCTCCATCAAAAATTGTTCGTAGTCATCCTCCGAGTAAAAGAGATCAGCGGGGTCGTAAGCCTCTACGGGCAGTACGCGCACCTGCGGCTTCTCCTGAAAGGACACGCTCTTCTTGCGCGTCTCGGGCTCTGGGTCGTTAGTTTTTGCAGGTAAAGCGGCGTGCCTACTACGCCTGCTGCTGCCCTTCTTCTGTTCTACGGATTCACTTCCAATACTCTGGTAATAAAGTGCCGTCACCCAGCGCACGATCTCCTTGCGCTGGTGGATGCGCAGAGCGACGATGCGCCCTGAGTCCTTCTCCCGCACGTACAGACACTCGTGGTCAAAGCCGAAGACGCTCTCGTTGGGCGCGGCAGGCTGCATCTGAAGTGTTAGCGAGTCTAGAGGAGGCGTCTTGCGCTTGTAGTCGGTGCGGCGCCAGTAGAGCAACAGCGTGTTGCCGCGTAAGACACCGTAGAGCCATCGGGAGAATACCTTGCTCTTGGCGCTCGCGCGGCCCTCAGGAGTGGCCACTGAGCACGGCGACGAGGCTGAGAGCGAGCGCTTGCGCTGTTTCTCGCCGTCTTCCTCTACGCGCACAAAGCCCGCCATTAGAGACGGAGAAGATGAGATGGTGGTGGACGAGTCTGGCGGCGTCTTGTGCTTTAGCACCATGTTGGTGGTGGACGCGTGTAGAGATTAGTTTCGTGTGCGGGATTCTCGGCAGGTTACGGAGTGATTGATCCGTGACTGGCTGAATGGCTTGTTTACCCGACGCCACTGTCTCAGAGTTTGTATGGAACTTCAAAGCGTTTGCTTGTGAGCCACGGAGAAAGCAACCACACGGACAGATGGAGAGTGAACCAAGCGGTGGCGAATAGAGAAGCAAAGAGATTGCGAGCGGCTGCGCTATTAATAGAGGAGCTCGATCCTAATAGCCCACGCCTCCTTCCCTTGTTTCTTTCGCTTCATCGCGCGATTGAAAAAGGATACTTAAGAAGGGATTGTCATAAAATTGTTCCATCAGCTCGCCAAAGGACGTGAGCTGGAAATTAACCCACGCCGCCATCTGAGACCGTCCGCGGCGTACAGTGCGTGGGTTAACTGTTCCAGTTGTAAGTTGCTAGAAAGCATTAGCTGACAGCAACGGTCTTCGGTCGCGCGACGCTTGGCCAGTGGCCAATGGCCACTGATCAAGACCATACTTGTACGGTACAGTATTGATAGAATCAATCATTTTGGAAAAAATCAAACCTTTCTAAAATGCTCCTTGAGAAATATGGTATCCTGTCGTATATGATATTATTCAGGGTCACCGAGTTTGTTCCGGGATACGTTAGAGTAAACTGCTCCCAATTTGCTATTTCAGCGAGGTTTTATTCTGGTTCTTAAGGTTTTAATTTGTTATACATGTACCAAAGTTTTAGAAAAACCTCAATGCCTCGAAATGCTTGGTTTTCAAATTGGTACTTGTTTTTCACGAAGTAGCTATTTTCGATTGAGCTGCTAAAAATAGGTAGATTAAACGAAATAGCTTTTTTTAACGAAATCACGTTTTTCAACTCGAACACGGCCAATTCTAGTAAAATTGCAATTTCGGCAAGCATATATGTCTAATGGTGCGATCATTTGAAGGCGCTCTCATCATATAGATAAATCATTGGCCTTATTTAAAACCCAAATTTCGTTTCACTTGAAATTTGAAATGGGGACCCCCCCTTCAGATCTATTACTTGCTGCTGGAATCGCTTTTATATTCCTTTAGCAAGAAATTGGTCGTGGTAAACAAATGGTTTTAAGGGAGTCTGGGAACTGTTCACGTGTCTTATCGATGCAATCGACATCTGAGAAAAGACAAAATTTGTAAAATGTAATAAGTCCGATTTAAAAAAAATCGTCGCATAATCTGAAAGTGATCAGATTTGCCAGAAAGCCTTGATTCGTTAGCAAGATACTAAGCATTGAATTTACGAATACATAAACTTAGTACTGAAGTAAAAACTTGAAAATTCGAGCGAGCTGAGTAACATGATATATTGTTTTATCTGATAGAGCGTTTTTCACCGGTCATGTCAGGTATAAAAGGAGATGTATACTGTACCAACTTGTACCACAGTAGACACCGTATCGTAATCTCATCGAGATGGCTTGCGAACGGCTTTGGCCTTTGCCTGGCGTAATGGATACAGTAAGAGTTCTTTTTAATAGTATTAAGTGAAAATGCCTTATAATAGGATATTATTTTAAGGCATTTTTGAAGTCGATGAAGTCCGACGTGTGGGCTATCAAAATGAGATGGTGGCCTCCTTCCGAATTCTGGTACTAAATCCGGACATCATAGAAGATTAATTCTACGTGTACGCGGCGCGTACTACGCGCATGAGTCCTGGCTGCTCAATCTCGCTAATGTTGCATTCAACGAAACAGAGCGGTTACTTCGCTCGAACGGGCTGCTTTAATAAGCCTGCACTTTGCGGTAGTGGACTGAGAATTTTATTTTTGTTAGGGTGCTGGTCAGCAACTTTAAGTTATTAGCGCAACAAAATTGACGAAAGCTCCCCCAATTTGCACGACTGACACGATGGAGCAGCGCAAGTGGCACATGCAGCTTAATGAGGGACGCGAGAGCGACCTGCCGCACAGACTCGAACCCGTGGGTTTCGTTAAAGGTGTATCTGCCGACAAGGTGCGCTCACGACTGCTTCGTTTCCCGCTATTACTCGCCCTCTGACACGCTTTCGACAGGACTCGAATGGAGCAGTCGCCAAGACTGCCACTAACACGTCAGAGCTCAAAAAGAAGGTGCGAACAATAGCAACACAAGTGCAATGATTGTAGTAGTTGGTACTTACTGGGGTGACTTTATTTGCTAACGATGACAGCGCGCCATGGAGATCGGCATGGCTCCATTCAAGAGCTTGCTCCAAACTGCCTTCATGATGTGGATGAGTGGCAACTCCATCAATATCTTCAGCATCATGATCACCGGCATGATCGTCATGAACACTGCTAAGTCTCTTTTCAACATGAACAACGGTACTGTCCTTCAGCTGCAATTCAACTGTTGAACATTGTGCCTAACACTACTGTTGCTGTTGCCAGCCTTCGCGTCCGTGAGCGATGGTGTGGTCGACCTTACGCAGCCCAAGGCTGTCTACATGGCTGGTAGTTTGGTTGGCGCGGCTATGGGCGTGTACAAGTGTTCCAACATGGGGTTACTCCCCACGACGAGCGCCGACTGGACGTGGCTGCTGCCGATTAAGCAAGCAGTGGAGACATCGTCGTTCGCCCACAGCCTCGGACAGTAGCAGCAATGGCAACTTTGTGGAGCTAACTGCAAGTACATGTAGTGAACGGACTCACAATGTAGTAAGTTAGCATAACTCATTTAGCTATTCAATTAGTACACGTAACTGCAGTAGAGGAAAGCCAACTAACCCGCCGACAGACGACAAAAATCGGCGTGCTCGCATATCCCCATAAAAAAAATCACTACAAAGCTGGCTGCGGCTAATACTCGTCACTTCGACCACGACGCAGCCAGCTGCTTTGATGAGTTCCAGTCACTGCTGCTCATGTGCTTCTGCAAAATTGATATCCTCTCGAAATGTAGAGGTCTACGAAACATTGCGTCCACTTGTCTGCGGTGGACAACGATACTCCTCGGGGAGCAGCGACCGCTGCAACGCGTTGAAGGCGAACACACGTCGCCCCGTGTTCTTGAGGGCGTTCTCAATCCGGACGCCTTCGGAGCGCATGACAGACACAATCCCTGCCTTCTTCTGCTCGCGGAGCCCGTGGTGTTGCACGAGAATGCGACCCTGCTCCAGCGTCACCGACATTCCCGTACGGTCCTTAGCAGACTTGCATACCGTCACACGTCCAGCAGAGATGCGGCGACACAGATCAGAGCTGAGCTGAAGGATCTCTGGGCGCTTCTTTCGTGCCTGTCTTCCAGCCGTGCCTATGAGCTTATCCAGTTCGCTGAGGATGCGATAGACCTCCTCACGTGACGGTCCGGACGGAGTAACCACGGCACTCGGCGCTGGTGGCGGTCGTGAGCGGTTCGAGTCTGTCGAGCCATCTCGCTGCCTCTCCTGCTTCTGCATCGCCTTCATTTGCCTCATGGACGTGTAGTTACAATAGCGATCGCAATAGCTTCGAAGCGTCTTGAGGCTGTTGGCGTTGATCACGTCCTGTAGTCGTGTTACGGAGGACCCAGTGTTGTTGGCCAGTGTCTGCTTCTCGTTAATACCCTGCGTGAACAGCACGGGACACACCTTGATGGGTCCGCCTTGACGAAGCGCTTTCGTCAGCTTCACCTTCCCAGAGCGCAATTTCACCCGAACGACCAAGTGGGTGAACGGGAACAGCTTGTTTACAGATGCTGGCGCCAACGACTGCACGTTCTCCCAGTTGCTGCCCGGTCCGCCGAGTAGCCGATGGTTACGAGCCTTGATAAACGTACTCAGCAGCCTCTGTCCAACTCCGCTCAACGAGGACGACTGCGACATCAGAGTCTCTCTGGATAACGGAGTTCCGTCTGATCTCTCAGAGTCTCCAGCGTTAGCTGAGCTTGTCTCTGAAAGTGCATCGTCAATACTGGTGAACACATCCACGTCGATCACGCCGCCGATGCCTGTGGAGTTGGTGGAATTGGTCGAGTTCGAAGATGTCGCAGACTCCAGCGATTCCAGATGCATCGACTGCCGCTGCTTCACTTGCATCTCCCGACGCTTCTCGTCTCCATCGCTGTTTGCAGCATCGCGATGACTACCGCTGGTCTCAGAGGGATCAGACGACGACGGACTATGCTTGGATTCCTCCTCGAGACGGTACGACACAGATCGAGGCGACTTGTTCCCACTGGACTCCTCGTCCACGCCGCCGATCTCCTCTTGCTCGTCTACCAATACGAAGCGGACGTTGCGCAACTCGTTGACGGCCCCAGCCATATCCTCCAGCATACCAGCCTCGTTACCATGCGTTGACACCAGGCTCTCCACGTCAAACAGGAAGCCCAACTTGCTGAGCTGCTCCAACATTGCCTGACCCTGTTCAGGGCTAGCGTGCTGCAGCGCCAAGTCCACTTTACGCGTGAACGCCGTCACCAGCGCGGCTACAGCTTGCGGGAAGCAGACGTCCATGCGCTTGCCAAGCACCCACTCGACATCATCAGCCTTCTGCTCGTCCTCCGTCCACAGCGGCACTTGGTGGTGTGCAGCAGTCGATCCCTGCGGCTCTCGAGCGCGCGGCTTGAGCTTCGCATGCTGCTCCTCCATCCCGAAGATACCGCCGCTTTTGAACTTGTAGATGTGAGCAGCCATGGCGCCCACAGTCACAATGTCGTATACTGCTGCACTAGCGCTAATATCCGAGGTACCGCTGCTACCCATGCTCGTTTGAGCCACGGCGTCAGCATTGCCGACCCACATCTCTTGGAGATGCAAGTTGATCGGCAGGAATCGCAGCTGCGCGTTTTTCTTCTCCGTGCTGGCCTTGAAGTACATTTTACGCTGGTCACGAAGCACGTACACGCGTCGCAGTTGTCGAAGCAACTCAACGTACTCCTTACGCTCCTGACAACGCTGCAGCATCCACTCTCGACACCGGTTCAAGTCTCCGTCATCCTGGATTTGCTGGATCAAATTCTCGTAGATGCCGCGGTCGGATCCTTTTTGTCGCTGGCGGTCATACGCCTCCAGTCGCGCGAGGTCGCTCTCGGCGATAAGAAGTTCCTTGGTGCGGTATCGGATAATAATCTCCAGAATCTGACGCGGAATCCAATTGCTGAAGCGGCTTTCCGTGAGGTCTTCTACAACCAGCAGGCCCTGTTCACGGATATGATACTGCTTGCTAATCGCTGGGGCGGCAGCGTGGAGACCACCCTCGACTCCGTTGAAGCCGTACTTGGCACCTGCAGCCTTGGGGATCACCGTGTTCACCAGCAGCTTCGGTGGGGCAGCGCTGGGGCCGAAGTGCTTGTACGAATCCTCGGTGGCCGTCAGCACAGTCTGCTCCGCTCGTGCACCTGCTGTCACCAGAGTACCCGTAGACACGGTGAATTCTGCCACGACGCTGAGACTGTGAGGCACCGTGGACGATCCCGAGTTCGATTCGGATCGGGTTACTCCGGACACGGGGTCATCTTCCGTGGACCCAGGCGATTCCATCTCGAACAGTTCGTCGATAACCTGCGAGCTCTGGAACCTTCCATATGCCTCCATTTCCACCACTGATGAGTCCAGCGTGTGCTGACTGTCGTTTCCATCGTCGTCGTCATAGTCGCGACTGCTCTGCGTGCGCTCCATAGCAGCCAGCACTTCAGCTGCAGTCATCTCCGAGTGATCCTCGTGGTTGATGGATGCAGGAGCCGAGTTGAGCGAGTACACCACCAAGCGCATCTTCTCAGCCGATCTCCCGACAGGGATGCGAGGCACTGATAAGAACGTGTAGAGGTACCGCTGCTGGTGGGGCAGCACAACTAGAGCCACGTCCTTGGCACTCGCCATCACTGTGTCCGTGTTGCTGATCTGCCGCCACGCTGTGGGTGTGCTTTCTCTTCCGTCCTCTATTTCCAGTCGCTGGATGGCAATAAAGCAGCCGTGAGTGAAATCTTCGTTCATCTCCAGCGCCATAGAGAGGCCAACGTAATCGTCAGTAGGAGAGATAGTCGAGTTCATCAGCGAGCGTCGACTGGACACTGCGTCGGCCGATGCTTCACCCTCGGCCATGATCTCTTCAATCCTCTCTAAAGAGCCCTCTGTCCATCGATCTGTCGTACTGAACGTAAAGCTGGGCGTCCGGATCTCGCCGTAGCCCGACTCCGATAGAGGACTGCAGTCGCTGGACAGTTCACGGTTGGCATCACGCAGAGATTGGGCCGTAGCATTCCACTGCAAGAAGATCAGACAGCACGGAGGAATGGAGCACGGCAGCCACACTGTGAAGATGTAGAACCACGGGTACGCAATGCCACGAGTAGTGCGTGAAATGATCTGCACAACCCACGAGAGCAGATATACCAGCGTCACGATGCCGATGAGAGCGTAGTAGAGACGTAAAGCCTTCACTAACACAACCTGGTGAGGACCCGAGGCGTTGCCCAGCAGCAGCTTGCCTCGTCGCATGACCATCACACCTAGAGCCATGACAACGAACGTCAGCACGAGGAAAATACCGTACGTGACAGACGTCGAGACCAGGAAGAAATTGTCGTCATCTTCGGCGTAACATGCCCACAGATAGCCCTGGATTTCCGAGAAGACAGTGGCAGATGTGTCCGCGTCCTCATTACACTGTTGGTACGCGAGCGTGGTGACATCATTCTCCGAGTCATACACACGGGAGATGAGAGTCTGGTAGTTGAGCAGGTAGCCGATCTGAAAGGCGTAAAAGAGCATGTTGAGCGCCACAAACCCCACTATCGCTGTACGCTTGGGCAGCTTACGAAGACGCAAGCTCAGCACCGTTCCCCAGTGGAAGCACACAGCTGTGAGCATCGTGAACGTGAAGCACAGATACGCGTGCATAATGTAGAAGTAGGTGCTGCCACGAGTGAGGAACCAGATGAAGTTGTTCACAATAGACGTGGCCAAGGCCAACACAGTGCAGATGGCTGTGATATCGGTCCAAATGGAGCCCAGCGAGAACGAGAGACCGTTTTTCCGAATCGCCACACTGCAGAATGCTAGCGAGCCCACCAGAACGACCATCGTCACGTAGTTGTACGGACTCGCAGTCGCGCCTATAGTCAGATACACTGAGATTGCCGAGAAGGAGCCGCCGATAATCAGGAGATCCTCCGGGTCACGGATCTCGATGGCAGTGGCGCCCAGACCTGAAAACGCAACGGAAGGATTCTTCACTGTGTCCACGCCAAGACTCACCCAGCCAATCGAGATCGGTTGTTCCACGATAAGCGTCCACGTATTATCCGAAGACGAGTAAGACACTTGTGTGAAGTTGCTTGGACTGACAACCTCCGTCTGCGTCGTGGTAGCAGCCGCCAGCGCGTAGAACTCCTCCTCGCTCGGAACATCCAGTGGGAACGTTTCCCACGACCACACAGCGTTACCAGTGAATCCCCACTTATCGCCAAATGTCAATTTGATCGAGCTACTCTCCGGGATGTTGGCATCCGTGTAGAAAGTGAGTGTGGCGTTGCCAGAGTTGCCTGGATAAATGTTCTCTGGGAGGAACGATCCGCTTGACAGCGTCGCGCTCGTCAGGTCTGTAACGCGTACGTACGTGTCGAAAACGGTGTTCTCCGAGTCGTTAAAGATGAAGTACACGGGCGTGAGATTCGACGTGGTCGTGTACGTCACGTTGGACGTGAGGCTGGCGGTGTCGTTCAAACCTGACGGCGTCACCACGCCGTCGAAAAGGAACACAAATGTATCGTTCGCCTGGTAGTTTTCTGTAATGTCCACTGTCAAGTACGTCCTGTTGTCTCCCAAAAAAGTGGACACTTCACACGTCGTGCTTTCACGTTGGGCGTTAGGAGTCGAGTTCGCCACCCGCTCCAAGTAACACGAGCAATCCTCCGTAAAGTTGTATCCAGGAGGACTGGCAAGCATGATCTGGTGTACAGTATAGGTCTCTCCGCCCATGCCGTCGGGGTAAAATACATCCAAAAAGTCCGTGGGTGTGACGGTGACTCCGAATGTGCCATTAGTCTGACCAGGGTAATAATTCTCCACGCCACGCCATACGTTCGAGTCTAGCACGAGTCCGTTGCAGCATTCGTCTGTACATGTCCAGTCGTAGCCCTCCATGAAGTACCAGAGGTCCTGTCCGTTGCAAAAAGGCTGTTTGGTGTTGTCGTTCTGACACGTGGGGAAGGCCACGCACGGGTACCAGGCCTGGTGATTCTGAGCCTTACGCCCGCTATACTCGCAGCACGGCAGACCGCTGCATTCCCCGTGGGCGGTCCCGAAGAGGTCTCGGGGTTGCTGCTCACTACAACAGACAAGTGATAAGTCCGGGTCACCACCTGCCAAAATCGCGCTCGCCGCCGACGCTGAGGATGTGGAAGCCACGCAGCAAGCAGAGCAGTCGTCCGCCGCGGTCGTATCCGCCGTTACGGACTCTGAGGTCGACGCCGACGCGCTCTGAGCCTGTATCCTGTCGACCAGCAGTGCCGCTAGCGCCGCCAGCAGCAGCTGCGGCCTTCGTCTCCGCATCTGCAGAGAGTGAGGAGGTCTATATACACGTCTAGAATGCGATCTCGACGACTGATCCGGCGCTGACCGGCGCTCCGCTCGCTCACTTGGCCTGCTGGTAATAGGCTGATGGCGGCGGCGCGGAGGAAGTGATGACCTTCGTCTGTCGTTGGGCAGCGTCGAAATTCAGGAAAAACGGCTGCTCACTGGCGTTCAGTATGGTGGACAACCCTAAATTTAGACGTGTCCCGTCATAGCGCGATAGTCAAAGACGGGCCTTTTTGACACGATCGATGTGCACTCAAAGTCTGCTTGGTAGTGTATAGTATTGCAGGTCCTTTTATAGTTATTAAGTAATTGGCTCTGAAATTTAATTGAATTTGATATATCCAAGAAGTATTTTATGCAGTCATGTTTCTCGCGGATCCTATTCAGATAGTCAGACACTGGAGAATTATGGCCAATTGTTGGTTCGGAATAAGTCCAAAGAGTCGGTTATTGCGGTGTCACTTTGTAACGGGCATCTCAGGGAGGCACTGCCGCAGGTGCCGGACGATCTCAGTACATTACTTTTCTACGGGACGGAGGTGAGGTGCTGTATGTTGCACTTGTCTTGCCATTATTGCAGCAGTTATCAGATTGCAGTGATCGGTAGCACTGCGCTTTACTTTGAGACAAGCTACTTCGAAAAATTAAAACATGCATTATTAATAATACATGTACTCCTAAAGTATCAAACAGCAACTACACCATTTCCCGGCCAATTTACAAAATTTGCCAATCAAACTGCAAAGTGTGAAAGAATGGTGTTTTGTGTCCAACAATAAAAGTGCATTTTTCATGCTTTGCAAATTGGATGGGTACACTTTTCAGTCAAAGTGCAAACAAGTTTTGGCGCGAGCTACCAGTAGCGTTCAAGCCAACCACGCCACACAAGCGCGCTATTCTGCTCATTTTAAAAGATGCCATCTCCCCCACAGCCCAACAAGACGAATCGTGCCTTCGAGCGAGCTCAAGCCAAGGCTCGTGTCGTGCGTGCCTACCAGCAGAACCAGAATTGGAGGGATGTTGCCAAGGCCAACGATGTTAGCTTTTTACCGCGCGTCGCGCTATTCTCAGCGCTGGTCAAGAGCCTAAACAGCGCGGCGGCTTGCGCCAGGCTTCTGTTAAGATAGCTGTAGAGGTGATGAGCAAGCTTGAAGAATATCTCGATGAGGACTACCGTATGACGCTGGGGAAAATGTCTGATCGTGTGCAAGCCGAGCTGGGCGTCACTGTAAGCACGACATCCGTTCATCGCGCTCTTCAGGGCATGTTGTACTCGACGAAGCGCTTGCGCATTGAGAAGGTGACCATGAACTCTGCTGCCAACAAGGAGAAGTGCAAGAACTTAGTCGTGGAGCTGAATAAATATATCAAGAAAGGTAACATGATTGTGTTTCATGATGAAACTAGCTTTAATTTGTACCTGTCTCGGAATGAGGGCTGGGCTCGAGTTGGAGAACGTGCTGTTGTCCAGCTGCCGCCTTCCAAAGGCGAGAACCTCCACATCCAAGGAGGAGTTTCAAGTGGCTCTGGTCTGGTTCTGCTAAAACCCATGAGGGGTCCGTGAAGAAGGCTGAGAATGCCAGGTTCATGGCAGACCTCTTCATCGCTTCGATCCGAAGAGTACGCGGGGCTTCAACCGGACCAGGTTGTGATTGTCACGGACAACGCGCCGTCCCACAGCGACGTCGAGATCCTTGCTCGAGAGTACCTTGCTGGCGACGGTATCATGAGCCTGAACAAGCTCAAGGTTCTGCGCTTGGGCCCCTATAGCCCAATGCTGAGCCCCATTGAGGGGTGCTGGAACTCCTTGGAGGCCAAGACGCGGCATTTTATGATGGAACGAAAGCACGAGTTTCTGGTGCGTGGAGAGTATGACTCCTTTACGGCGCACAGGTTGCAGCTGATGAAAGACGCAGCGGAAGCGTGCAAGAATGCTATTACGCGCCGACTCATCTGGCGCTACGAAAGGCTCTGCCTGCGGCATTGTTTCGCTGCCGAGAGGGGCTTCGACACGGAGCTGGGCGCGTGATTTCAAATTTGCATTTTGCTTGAAACGTGTACCCATCCGTTTTGCAAAAGTTGAAAAAAATCATTTTTTGCTCACTTGAAGTATCCCTGTCTCTTATCGTTTGCAACTTGCTTGGTAACTATAGCAATTTGGCCGGGAAATGGTGTATAAATATATGCAGAATATGAAGCATGATACCGGTACTCTGACCATTTTAGAATGGAAGCGAGTATTTTGCCCGACTGGCTAACCGACTATATAATTATACCCCCCCCCCCCCAACATGCATAAAATGGACTTAGCCGAGGGTCTTGGCAACACTCCGTCCGGAATAATTTCTATTCCAGACACAGCGCCTTGCCGAGTCGGGGACTTAAAGAACGGGGTGGATTAGACGCGGACGGAAGACTACGTTGGAAAATTGGAGAGCTCAGATCCATGATGAGTGTACACTTGCAGTGAGGTGGATCAAAGTGACCTGGATCCAGAATAGTGTACCCATAATATGGCGACCTCATTATGATTACGCCATGGATCCGGTGGATCTGATGCTAATACAGCTGGGGTGATGGACCAAGGAGAAAAAGGACATGCAGCCGAGGCTGATAGAGGATTTATCAGGTAAAAGACATAGAAGGGTAGAAATCCAGGCAGGTATAGGCTTAAATATCAATACAGAACCTCATTTGCACCATAACACGCAAGGTGCCTTCCTGCCCTCAAGAACCGGAACTACATTGGCCGTACGAGCTCTGAGAAGGTGGGAATTGCGAATCTAG